TTAATCTCTAATTTGAAAAAAAAAAAAAAAAAAAAAAGACTTTGATCAAGACTTCTTAACAAGAACTCATTCTTGTTAAGTACAGCCGCTGTTGTCACCGGAAAAACGTTTACCCTGCAAGTGCCAATCCGGAAGCCAGAAACACGGAAGTGTGAAAAAGACAAGTGTGAGCTACAGACAAAAAAAAGTGGAAAATGACGATTTTGGTCGAATTTGAGGTTTTCACAAAAACGAGTTCATTAAGTCCTCGTCTAACGATCCCAATGCTTCAAATAGTAATTAAACATCTAAAATTATCTTTATTTGTTATTCATTCATTCAGAAAAATGTTTGCAGATTTTATTTTATTCTATTTTATTATTCAGTAAATAATTTTATGCACGTGATTCATGCAAATTAACTGATTAAAAATCTGTTTAATTTTATTTTAAGGTATCTTATTTATTTTTTTGAAATTTATTTATTTTCTTTTATTGGTTGATATTCAAATGTTCTTCCTCAGTGCCATATAATGTTAAAATATTGTATCAATTCTAGCACAGTGTAATAAGGGTGTTTAATTACTGTGAAAAATATTTGGTCTATTTTATTTGGCTAATTTAACTCTTGGAAGGTGGATAATGTGTAGTGTTCTTAGAGTTGTTGTTGAACTCCTCAGCGGTGTGTCCTCTCAGGAGGAGGAGAACGAGTTGTGTTGTATTGTTTGGGTTGCTGAGTATGGAAGAAACAGCCTGAGGGTTTGGATTCAGGAGAAAGTTGACAAACATCTGCTTCAGCTGGGAATGTCAGCCGCAGCATTCCTCAAACCAGAGCCCGAGGGCCCAGAATCGTGAGTGTGTGTGCGCGTGTGTGTGCGTGAGTGCGTGTGCATGTGTGTGTGTGTGCGTGTGCGTATGTGTGTGTGTGTGTATGTGTGTGTGTGTGTGCATGCCTCACACACCTGGTCTCCGTCGTGACTCAACATTTACTCACTGTGTAGATTTTGTCACACCTGAACCCAATCTTCCTTCCTTCCAGACAGTCTGTTCAATATCTGCTCATACATACACTACTGTTTGGAGTCAGTAAGAAGTTTCTTCTGCTCACCAAAGATGTGTTTGTTTGATCAAAAATACAGTAAAAATTATGAAATATTACTACAATTTAGAAGAACAGTTTTCTATGTGAATATCTGTTAAACTGTAATTTATTCCTGTGATCAAAGCCGTATTTTCAGCATCATTACTCCAGTCTTCAGTGTCACATGATCTTCAGAAATCATAATAATATGCTGATTTGCTGAAACATTTCAGATTATTATCAATGTTGAAAACATCAATATTTTTGTGGAAACTGTGATACATTTTATTTTTCAGGATTCACAGATGAATAGAAAGTTCAAAAGAACAGAATTTATTTGAAACAGTAATCTTTTGTCACATTATAAATGCCACTTTTGATCAATTCAAAGCATCCGTGATGAATAAAAGTTTTAATTTCGTTCAAAATAAAAAAGTTACTGACCCAAAGCATTTGAACGGTAGTGTAGTTCAGTTCAGATTATGAAAGGTGTGTTTGAGTTTACAGTCAGATGAACTGATTGTTTGCATCTCTGCCATTTAAATATCAAATCCTGTAAATATTCCATTATTTACATATTAGGAAACTTTATGACTAACTCAAATGTGCTGATATTCACAGTGTTGCTTCATTTGAAATCCTCGTCATCATGATGAGCTGTGACGCTCAGATCTGTGTTTGTGTGTTCAGGTCTCTGTGATGACCGTCTGCACTCGAGCCCCAGGAGGAACAGGAACAGCGGCGATGAGTTTGTTTCCAGCAGATCGGCCGTGTCTCCAGCGCTGCCCTCGCTCATCACACACCTCAACCAGGAGCTCCTGACCTCCGGTGCTCTGACGCTTCCCGGTGCGTGACCGGGCCAGAAACTACAAAACACAAGAAACACACATTAATATGCATATACAGTGGTGGCCAAAATGATTAGAACATTAGTATTTGCACCAGCTAAAAATGGTTTTAAGTCAGTTATTTCTATCTTTTGCTGGAGTGTGTCAGTATGAAATATCAGTTTACATTTCCAAACATTCATTTAGCCATTAATTGTAATAATGCAGTGAGATTTTTGTGCCCCACACAGAGATCTGATCTGATCAGAAGTGACTTGAAGAAACAGAACAAACTGAGACAGACTCAATCCAGAAGAACTGCTGCTTCAAGAAACCTACCTGCAAAGCTACAGAACTGTTAAAAGTTTTAGGCACTTGTGTAAAAATGCTGTAAAATGAGGATGCTGTCAAAAATAATGTCATAAATAGATTTTCTTTAGCAATTAACTTCAGTCAACTAAATCAAATCAACATTTGGCGTGAGCGTCCTTTGTGTGCAAAGCAGCTTTTGCCCTCTACAAGCATCTCAGAGACGTTGTTCTCCACAGTTCTTCTGGATTGAGTCTCAGTTTGTTCTGTTTCTTTTACCATTGCCATGCATTATACGACTGATAGACTGCAACGGCTGGAGTTACAAATCATCATGTGTTCTACTGAAGAAACAAAGTCACCTACATCTTGGATGCCCCGGGGGTAAGCAGATAAACCTCACATTTTCATTTTTGGGTGAACTATCCCTTTAAGCGAGGCACTGTGTTCTTTTACACGCTTATAGCTCATAGTGTTAAAAATTGAAAATGAAAAAATTAAGAAAAAATTAGGCTCATTTGAAAACAAAGAAATTATAGTATATTAGTATTGTAATTTTACTGTAAAATAAAATAATAATAATTATTATTAATATATTATTATTTTTGTATTACTATATTATACTATATATTTCATTTCACTGTGAAATATTACAATAGCAATATTTTTACTTTATTATTTTTTATTTTAATATTTTTATTTAGTAATTATAATTCATAATAACTATAATAATAATAATTATTATTATAAATTGTATTAAATTTTTA